TTTTTTCATTCATTCCATTCCAACTACTTTGGGTGGATTTTTGGTCAGTGCCTGCATTTATCACAAATGTTACTCAGTTTACATGCCTATGTTTATGGGAAGCGTTGCTTTTTGAAGTCATGTTATATTAGAGCTGATATGAGTCCGGGATAAAGAAACATAAGCTTGACAGGAGCTTTTGAACTAATGAACATCATTGTCATGCTAGGAAAACATTCATAGATTTTTTATTTCAGCAGGATTAATATTTCGTGCAACATAAAGGTTCTAATGGTTTTCACCACTTGTAGCATCTATGTTTTATTTTTTGTAAGAAGTTTTGCAGGTTGATTTGCTAATTTTTAGTTCCTCTTATAAATCGTAGTCCTTTTATCTTTGAGGCAGAGGGCATGAGATTTTTCGCCACCACAGCACCTTGCTTTCCGCTTTCTCATCATGCATACTCCAGCTTGATTCGTCGCTTCATTCTTTTACGTAATTTTGTTAAAGATTTGAATAATGAGGGGAGCTTTCCTGTATTTTTGCCGTTTTCTCTCGGTTGAGGGAAAATCCAAATGTTGTTATTTAAGCCCGACCTAGGATGAGAAAGAGAGTGATATGACACAGACGGATTCCATTACAAATATATATTCTCGATAGGCAAAGAGCTGAACTAGGTTTCACAACAAATGGCATTTGAACATACTTATTCTGCCATTGTTAGTTCATGTACTTCACATATGATATAGCATACATAGCAAGTGCAGATGAAGCCTATCAAGCTAGTCCGAACATCGTGAAAATCTCTTATCATAGATGGATCATTTAATTTCATTTTGTGTTTTCGAGCTGCTGGAAGGTAGCGCGCCTGACGTTCGTGGAAAGACATCTAACATGCATTTCAGTTTTTATAAACGTTTTTTGTCTAGTCTGATCGAAAATATTGTTTGAGAAATGTTTCAATTGCAGCGTCCTTCTTGTTTGAACAAAAGTCTTGACTGCCATTTTGGTTTTAGAAGAGGACGAAAGAAAAATAGTGTAATAGGATTAAAGGTTTAATCATTACTTTTTTTGGAAAATATTCACTTTTTCCATCCGCGTATCTGTTAAGTCTGCCCTTCAATGCACAATTGAAAGGGATTTACCACAGGTAGGCGATCGAGCTCGCATTGATCAGCGCAGCGGAACGGTGGCATACGTTGGCCCAACAAAGTTTGCACCCGGTGAATGGATTGGTCTCGTTCTTGATGAGCCAGCAGGAAAAAATGATGGGTCCGTTCAAGGCTATCGATATTTCACTGTGAGTTTCCTCTATTTCTTCTACCTTTTTTTAGTGGTATTTCTTCGTGCTTACATATTCTCTTACGGATATTTGCATTCTAAATGAAAATGATTGATGGAAAGGTTTGCCTGTCTTTTAGATTGTAAGGCAGCTTTTCTCGCAATATTTCTGCTTTTGCGGAGGAGGATTACACATCTAGAGAGATAAAAACAGTTATGTTGTACATCAGCGGAATGGCATAGGCCACTTTGAGAATCTCCTAAGCGGTTAAAAGCTAAAAGCATCCACTAAACTACACCAAGTTGATGCTTTTAAGCAGTTATACTCTTTTGATTTCTTTTAAGAACTTTTTTTT